AGCACGGAGTCATCGAGGTAGTAGGACAGTGAGCCGAAGTCTTCTCTGCCTAATTTAACAGACAAAAGGCAACGAATCCCTTCGACCCGCCTTCTCAAACTAAATGAAAGATACGCCAGTATCAATCTATTAAGAGATTCTTCGAAACCCAGTTTCTCTTCATATGTCATCTTGATCCCCTTTCCTAGTTCCTTTGGCCCTCCCTTTTATACTTGAACTCTTATCGTTGATGCTTCATTCTCGCCTTTATGTCAACTCCAAACGCCATGCAGGGATACATGGTTTAATAAAGGATACACCTTGTACTTATACAACTAGTGAATGTTTTATAGATTTAAATATTAATTTATTGGGTTCGATGGTATCTAGACCGAGGCCGACTCTCGAAGTTGTGGTTGAACCCATAATTGACAAGCTTTGCGTCCCCACGGCGGCGTTATACAAGGTGTTACTAGGCCTAGTAACAAAGGTGAAGGCATTTAAATTTATTTACACTCACACGACATGTTTTTGCTGCCTTCTGCTAGCAGCCTAGGCAGATAAGAAACCGATCACGCCAAACGTTGAGGCACAGTGGTGTTGATTCGAAGGCGAAAATGGGTGAACAGACTGACGTTAATAAAAGCGTCAAGCACTATAGTTAGCTTGTTCCATGGAAAAAGTGGTCCAAATTGGCGGGGAGACTAGCTCAAAAAGATGACAGTTTCATCGATTCCATCTCGTTCGTCTCTCGAATTCGGCGCCGGACATCGGAGCATCGTCTTGTCGGCTGATCACCAGAGTGTGGGGTACCTTATGGTTATACCCGTAAACGGCTTCCAGTGTCTGTTTGGCGCAAAGGCTTGGGCGACCGATCATGTCGCTAGAGTCATGTGGTCGGCGTCGAGACCCCTCAGCCGAAGGTTTTGCGGCGGCGATAATTTTGCTGGCCAACGCAATGGCTACCGGAGTCGGAGGCTGGTCGTTGTCACCGACGGGTGTGAGGCCAGATTCGTAGGGAGAGCCCAGGCCAAACTCTGACTTACCGTTTGGCAGGTCGGCCGAAAAAGGTGCAGATCGGGAGGAGGAGGTGGAGGCGGATGAGGAGGAGGTGGAGGTGAAAAGTAGGCCCTGTTGAGTATCTTGACTAGTTTGCATACGCTGCTGTGTAGCCTCTTTCCCAGCGTCTGGTCTGAACGCGGACATGAGCCAGTTGTAGGGCCATCTGAATGAGGCTTTGTCAGCAACGTTTGTACCGGCGGCGTTGGCGAAGGCAGTAGCGTCTTGATGTGTCGGCTCTGGTGGCAGTGGTTTCTGAAAGACCAACGGAGGCGGTGATGACGGTGGAGTAGTTGGTCGATCTCTTGCGGTGCCGTCTGAAGAGGCGTTCGTCTGGCTCCTTGTAAGACGTTCTGAGGCGAGGGAAAAGGACAACGGTGCTGGGTCCGAGGCCTCGATAACGGACTCGGTGAGCAACAGGACTTGATCGCCGTTGCAAGACAGGAAGCGCAAGTTGCCGCCGGGCGCATTGGTGAAGTCGGAAGACTCTGAAAGAGATGAAGTGGAGGCTGAGCAGGCCATTTGATTGGCTGA